CATCAAGACTATAATTATTCGTCCACAATTGAGCACTTTACCTATTTCATTTATGGTGTATTTATTCAAGTACCTAAAACTAACATAAAATACATTTTTAAATTTTAAAACACAATTTCCAATACCTTGGCCTAGCTTCACAAATACATTTTAAAGAGAACAGCATGGCACTCATAATCTTTTCTTTCAGAAAGTTGATATTGAGTTGTTAAGAGGCAAAGCACATTGTGAAAATAAGGAGCAGATGTCTGAGCGAACATGGAGGGAAGGAGAGTTAACCTGGTTCCGATTAGTTCTGTATTCTAGCCCAGGTTCATCAACAGGCTGTGTGACTCTGGACAAGTCATTTTTACCACACTATATTCTCCAGTAGTTAAAAAATTAAAGGAAAAAAAAGCAACTGTAAAAAGTCTACCTATCTAGAATCCTTATAGGAACTGTTTTGGAAACCTTGGAAGAGAAAGAAAAAAATAAAAGAACAGCCATTTCCAACTGCAGAAATGGTAATGTTGAATATAAGTTTGGAAAAGGCTAAAGAAAGTGGAAAAATCAGAACAGAACCCGTGAGAGAGAGAAACAATCCTCACGGAAAAATATAGAAAAGGATTACAGTAGACAATCTCAACCAACTTGTGAGTTTACAACTGTAGTAAACATACCACTTACCAGTTACTGACTGCTAATAAGTGAGAACCACAGCTAAGTGCCCTTTGCAAAATTAAATCATTTAATCTTTACAATATTATAAAAGAGGTTTTATTATTATTATTTTTTCCATTTTATTTATTTATTTTTTGGTGAGGAAGATTCCTCCTGCGCTCACATCTATTACCAATCCTCTTTTTTTGCTGAGGAAGATTGGCTCTGAGCTAACATCCGTGCCCATTTTCCCCTATTTTGCATGTGGGATGCCGCCACAGCATGGCTTGATGAGCAGTGCATCGGTCCGCACCTGGGATTTGAACCTGCGAACCCCGGGCCAGCAAAGCAGAGCACACAAACTTAACTAATACAACAACAGGCAAGCCCCTACTTTTTTTTGCTGAAGAAGCTCGGCCCTGAGCTAAGATCTACTGCCAATCTTCTTCCTTTTTTTTTTTTTTTGTATGTGAGCTGACCCCACAGCATGGCCACTGACAGACAAGCAGTGCAGGTCCGTGCCCGGGAACCGAACCTGGCTGCTGAAGCAGAGCACACGGAACCCAACCACTAGGCCACTGGGGCTGGCCCTATTATTTCTGTTCTAAAACAAGGAAACTAAGGCACAAAGAGATTAGCTGACTTGTGTAAACTCATACAGCTAGAAGTGGCAGAGCCATGCTCTGAACCAGTGTCCTATACTGACAAGGTGGGAATGGGCCTAAAAGACGAACATAAACACTTCCGGATGGCACCACAGGACACGCAGATAGGGCTATTTTAAGAGGCTGAGTATAAGAGATTAAGAGTATAGGCGTGGGCCTGCCCCGTGGCTTGGCGGTTAAGTGCGTGCGCTCCGCTACTGGCGGCCCAGGTTCGGATCCTGGGCACGCACCAACGCACCGCTTCTCTGGCCATGC